GGCCCCCTGACTCCTCTGCCTGGCTGTGGGAAACTTTCTTACCTCCTGATTTGGAGAGAGCTTGTTACTCCTCTTTTGCTTCACATTTGGCAAGAGCTGTGGGTGCTCTTGACCCCAGGGCAGAGGGGGCAACAGCTTCTGCTTTCGCAAGAGTGGAGTTAGCTGGGTACACTCCAAGCCAGGGGCAGAAAAATCCACTTTCTGCATGCCAGGGAAGAGCAGCTTCCTGTTTGCAGCACTGGGGAATTCTCGATGAAATGAGCAAGGGCAGGAAAATCCGCCTGGGAAGACTTCTGGCATATGAAACCCGAACATGTCTGGAAAAGCCCAGACAGGAGGGAAAATATAAGGTGCAGAAGACCTTGCTTACATTACTCTGGGCCAAATATGGTGTCATTGTGTGGAGGCCAAATTGACAGAAAGTGCAGAAATGTGCCCAATGTTATATAGTTTCCTTTACGGCTCTGGCAGAATTCCCCACTGTCAGCAGCGGTAGCCTTGAAGCCAGAGAAAACGTTAGGGCCTGTCCACTTGCTTTCCTATCCAAACCGTCCTGTAAGTCTGAAACAAAGAGCCCTTGAAAACTGCTTAGCAACTGCCCACTGAGTGTTCTGATAGTGAAAACACAAAACAAAAGTCTTTGTTACCAGCATACTAGGCATTTCACTGAGAACAGTGTTTTTAGCGGATGTTGGAGTAGGCTGTAGGCCTCCAAATACACTTATTTTGAGCTTTTCCTTGGAAAGGGAGCAGCCAGGGATTTCCCCAGCTGACTTCTCGAGCACCCCGCAGCAGAGAGCCCTTGTGTTGGACGCGAGCCATGCCCTCAGATCATGAGCTTGGTCCCTCTTCGGGGAACACGTGCTCATTTTCTCTGTGTGCACGAGGTGCTGCGGCTGTGTTTTCCGCAGCTCCAGCGGCAGTAGCCAGTTGGAAAAGGAACTGTTGGGAGCAAAAGCTGTGCTGAATTCTGAAGTCTGAATTGACTTGTGACTTGGGGGCTCACAGAAATTGTGTTCTCCTGAAAATACTTGCTTCTCCTTCCCTCTTCCTATCAAAGTACACACATAAATGCTTTCTCAGGATCCATACTGTTCTGTATTACAGCCCTGGGGCACGATAGCAGTGTGAGTTCGGCATGTCAGCTTCTGTGCGAGTTTGCCCTTCAGACTGTGGAGGGCTGCCTGGCAGCAGAAGGCCATGCCACAGCCATACGGCGATCCCTGTCGGGAGGGTGTTCGTATGGTTGTCGCATCAAATGAAGTTCCATCCCTGGTTCGCAGCTTTGACGCATTCTCATCCGGGAAAAATGCTGCACAGGACTAGGGCTATTGTTTTAAAATATTCTGTCTTATTAAGCCTGTACTGGCTGATTCTTCATATCCTGCTGATTTATAATAGCAATCAGGAAAGTGAAGTGGTGCTAGAAATCCTGTAAAGACAGCTAAGCCTGTAATGCATTAAAGGAATCCAAATAGCACCTCAGGATTCAGTATCACTCCATTCATTGCCCAGCTAAGCAATCAGTTTTGGAGAGACACAAATAAGGACAATTCTTTCTGTCCAAACTGAGGTAGTTAGTGATAGAAATGGAGAGAAGTGGGAAGAGTTAGCATTACAAGACATGGGATTTTGACGAAGGGATATAGCATTTGCTGGCCAGCCAATAAAAGGTACGGCTCTGAGGTCTCTCATCTGCTACTAAAATAGATGGTGCAGCACTCTGGGGAAATCCTTACATGTTTTTTGCATGTAATAGCCATTAACCAAGTGTACATGCATCTCCATTTCCCAGACTAAAACAAGGTATTTACTGTGCCTTTACTGTTGCTGCTGTCTGTCTAGTCAGATGTTACTTGTTGTATGAAATGCCTCTTGAAGTAAAGATATTTAGATAGGCATGTTTTAAATCGGGAACACTAAGCATAAAAGTAGATCCCTATGTGTTGTTTTTGTAAGATTTTTGGGACATTTCAGCACGTGCAATCAAACTGCCCATTGCTTTCCCTGAGATTAAGGTGGGAGTAGGCACTAGCTAGTGCTGTTTTCACTGACTTCGAGACATCAAGAAAAGCCAAAAGAACTGCGTGGATCTTGTTAACTCAGGGAATACATATGTTTTACTGATATAAATGTAAATCTGAGGCATCTATAGATGTGAAGGATTACCCACTGTTACCTGTTTAGCTAGATGGTTCAGAACTTGCATCTGAAAGTTGTGTAACGAGCCTGTGGAGGCCCAGGGTGCTTACCGCTCCGCTGGCTCTCTATCTTTGGCAAGCAGCAAGACAAAGACGTTACAGGCCAAATGTAAAGAAATACCTCTTGATGTTTAGCTGAGTTCGGACTGAACATGACTGGCTGAAAGGTGTGAGTTCAAAAACAGACAAAAGGTGATGTAATAGTTTTATCAGGTAACAGTCACCGTAGCAAGCAAACTTTACCATGCATGACAAGTTCCTCCCAAGTTTTCGCACTGTGTTTCTTTTCCATGCGGCTTTTGTTACCGCAGGTGTGTTAAGGACTTCAGCGGCAGTAAGCTGTGGCTCTACAGGGTTCTTTGCCATGGGACTGTGTGCAGTGTTTTCACAGCTATACCTTTTCTTGCACGTAATGTTAAATCAACCTCACGTGATTTTTAGTTTTCTCTCCCCATCCAAATACTGTGAATGTTTATTCCATCGGACTTGCTGTTCACGCTAGGTTGCAGTGCTACTGAGCCTTCCCCAGAGCCTCTGGCTGTGGCGTTTTTTGGAGCAGACAAGCACCAAATTTACCCTACTCTCTTCTGTCCTGTCAGCAGTGCCACACACAGGTTAGATAATGGGTCTGGCCTCTGCCAGGTCTGATCTTTTCTTATTTGTCCTCTATTGAAAGTAAAAGCTGGATTTTTTTTTTTTTTGTTCCTGTCTTCTTTGCAGAACACAGATTTTGACCGTAGACTTTGCTGAGTCTTTCTGACTGCTAAGATAGGATATAAAAAATAAAATTTATATTTGGGGTGGGTGGCAGTGAGCTTTTAACCACTAGGAAAAAAGATTGCAGAATTTGAAAACTGAGAGTATGTTACTTCAATGAAAGGACACATAAAGAATACTGATGATTCTTCATCAACAAGGCCCCTCTTATGTCCTTTTTCATTTGGCAAGTAAACCAGCGTCTGCAGTGTGTTGGGATAAACTGCTGACTTGGAATATTTCCCCGGCTGACTTTGTGAAAGCCCTTCTGTTGTTGAAGCCCGGCACAGTGGAACACGCCGCATGTGCTGTCCTCCTCTCTGGTTATAAAATGCTGCCGTTACCAGGCCGGCCTTGAAACTGCAGGCTTCCAGCAGCATCCGTGCACTCTGTGCAGAGCTGGGGATGCTTTCACAACCTTTAGGGTATGCGTTCCCATGGGGCTCAGTGGGCTTATGTGGGAGCTAGTGGTAGTCTTGTTCTTGAGAGGAAATCCAATTTACTTACTTAGCAGCACTGCACCAAAAACAGGAGGGAAAGGCAAATCACTGCAAAGTGGTTTTAGGCAGCAAAGCACAGACAAATGTCTCCGTACATGCAAAGTTCCCAAGTGTAAGGTTCGACACTGCAAAATCTAACTTTGCCCCAGTTTAGCCCACCTCCATGTCATTCTTACCCCCCTTTTTTTTATTTTCAAATGTGATGTTTTTCTCTCTGGGCTGTCTGTGCTATGAAGATGGGTCAGAGAGAACGGCTCCTGGGTCTCCACATCAGCACCCTTGCACAAGAGGTGGGACAGTCCCATGTCTGCACAGGCGCGGGCTGTGGGCAGCCATCGGCTCTGCAGCAGCGAGTTCCCCGGGAGGAAGCACCGGCCTCGTGCCACGTGCTCACCTCCGCTGGGAAATGCTTTTTAAAGCCAGCCTAAACCCCAAGCTGTAATGCTTATTCCTCCCCAGAACTCCGGTCTTGTTCGCTTTTTCTTTCCCTCATAGAAATATTTGTAATGTAAAAATATTACAAGGTACCTTCCATTTTGTCCCACTTCATGTAATTAGTTTTTGGTTCATAATTGGTAAGTAAATATTGGTAACTATATTGGCATTTTAAACCTCACTACTGGGGCTTATTTGAAAGAAAAAGAGCACCTCATAGAAGAAAATGCCTGTGCTCACTCTTCTTCTGTATTTCTTGTGCTTGTCCTTTTCTCTGTCTTCTCTGTGTTTTCTGTATTCCCCTCTCTTGTTCTGTTTCCCACTGCCACGTGGACTGGACTTGCTGGCTCTGAAAAAACCCTAGTGACCTACTGTAATACAGACTGTAGTATAAATTACTCAGGTAAATTTGAGGCAGTAACTGAAATCAGTGGAATTGTTCTGAGGGTGGTGAGGCATTGGAACAGGTTGCCCAGAGAGGTGGTAGATGCCCCATCCCTGGAAACATTCAAGGCCAGGCTGGATGGGGCTCTGAGCAACCTGATCTAGTGGAAGGTGTCCCTGCACATTACAGGGGGGTTGGACTAGATGACCTTTAAAGGTTATTTCCAACCCAAACATATGATTCTATGGTAATTTCTAAATAAAAGGGAATTTGTTTAGTAAATTATCTTTAATAGCAATCCTGCTATGCTATTTTTAATTAAAATTCCTATATCATTACCATGATGTTTGATTTCCCTTGGTAGTTTTCTTTGCTGTCTCATTCAAGACACAGTAGGTGGCACGTGCCAGGTATCCTTACATATCTTTGTGATTATTTCTTAGTGTGATTCAATACATACAAAACCAGGATCCACCAGAGAAGTTTGTTTTCTGTTTTGTCTCCTGCTTCTCTGATCCTATATTCTAAAATGGTGAATGTTATAAAAACCAATCTGTGGAAAAGTTTAATGTAAGAACTACCTCCTGTATTATCCAAGTAGTAGTAAGGAGAATATTTTCAGCCTGTCAGCCCAGCACAGGATAACCATTCATGCACTTGCAAGCTGAAGTGTTATTTGTGTTTTGAAAATAGTTTTGTCCCTCTTTTTTTCTCCTGATCCAGGGAGAAGAAACTGAAAGCTAGAGTGCAAGAGTTAGTGAGTGCTTTGGAGAGACTCACGAAGAGCAGTGAAATCAGACATCAGCAGTCTGCAGAATTTGTTAATGACCTTAAAAGGGCAAACAGGTAAAGGATCTACCAGCAGATGGATGTACCATTGACTTTTTTTTTGCCGTGTTCTGGCAATGCAGTGTAATTCTTCCCCCTACCTTAATGAGCAGTTTCTGGATCCTTGTGTTCAGACAAGTTGACTCTTTAAGGTTATAGGTAGAGATGGGGGAGGTGTAAACCTCCCATGTAGGACACTGAAAACTACATAGCTAAGAACAGAGCAGGGGAAATAGGTTCATCTTAACTGAGTTACTAGTAAAATGCATTATTATTAAAACAAACAAAACCCTCTATTTAGTCAGATTTATGAATCTGTTACTTTGATTAAAATTGCTCCCTTTTACGTGGCTCCTGCCTCTGTTAATAAACTGGCTTCGATAATCACACTTAAATTTTATTGCTCACTCAGTAGATTTTACTGGCACTGTGTCTGGATGACTGGGGATATGGTGGACTATAGCTGCCCTTCCTGCAAGGAGCCTATCGCTCACAATGTAGTTTTTATTAATAAATTATACTTGAAAGCCTTTGTGGTGTGGAGCAGTACCCATCTCAAGCTTTCCTACACAGTCAAGGTGGAGGCACAGAAGATCCTTAGCAGCTGACAAATTAGCACAAGATGCCATCCTCTGAATAGAACTTTTTTTTTTTTTTTAATGGAAAATGCAAAATCCGTGCTGGATTTTCTAAGCAGATTCTGGCCGTACAACGTTTTTGTAAATCATTACATGTTTAATGTTGTGGTATCCTGACTCACAAACAATGCTCTGCGAGGTCATCATCAGCAACCTCTAGTTGGCTCTTTGAGCCATATTTAAAAATGTTTTCAGTAACCAGTTTACTGGTAAAAGTGTGTACTCGGCCCAAAAAAGACAGAGAGATTAGCATTGATCTGGGTTTGGATCTAATGCATTTTAAAGCACTAGCAAGTTTTAGGAAGATCATCACTACCCAAACTTTGGAGTTCCCTGAAGGTGGGACTTTGGGGTGGATTTTTGTAGCACTGGCTATGAGCAAGCCTTTTTGAATGACCTTGTATTGCCTTGTATTTCTAACAGCAACTTGGTAGCAGCTTATGAAAAAGCAAAGAAAAAGCACCAAAATAAGCTGAAGAAACTGGAATCGCAAATGATGGCCATGGTGGAGAGACATGAAACACAAGTGAGGATGCTCAAACAAAGAATAGCTTTACTGGAAGAAGAGAACTCTAGACCACACACCAATGAAACTTCACTTTAAGTGCATCTCTTTCAAAGATGCTTAGTGCCATTACAAATTTCTTGCTTTTGGAGGCTGACTTTTAGGTAGCTTCAAACGCTAAAAGCTCTGAGTGTCAATGCTGACACACTTAAGCACCTTCTCCGGGATCCCAGAGAGGTGCAATGGGGATAATATAAGTGTTAACCTTAAGGACTGTTTCATAATGTAAAATGGCAGTGCCTGAATTATCATGCTATAATTATCTATATTGTCTGTGTCACTATGTCTATATTCATACAGCTTCTCTTCCATTTTATGTATGTCCCATGGGTGACAGTGTCACATAGCAAAATAATTCATGTTAAGAGGTTTTAATTTGGGCAGTTGGGGATAATTTGAGAGCTTTCCTACTTTCCGAGCTCCCTCTGCACATAGCTCTGTATTGTACCCTCAAGACTTGCTGCTGTGGTTAAATCAGTTAAATAAGCAGCTGCAGAGTGGAGGGATGATAGGCTGGCTTGCTTTTTTTGCACCATACTTGCAGTACTGTCACTCACAGGGCAGATCAGGTAGGAAAACTGTTGATTTGGAAAAAAAAAACCAAGAAACCCTAGTTGCATCTCTGAAAACTGTGATAATGGTGTATTTCTTACAGTTTGTAAGAGAACTAAAGGCTGTGAGTTTCACCATGCCAGATAGATTGTCTGTGCCAAGGTTGGGTAAGAAATTATAGGAGACCTCCTGGTATTTATATTGCATGGTGTTTGCAATTATTTTGTGAAACAGTTGGGTTTTCTTGTTAATACATTATAGCCAAGGTTTTCTTTAAGAAGCTGGACTATTTTTGTCACGTGTATAGTGCTTATTATAGCTTTCTGTGATCAAGAGGTAGAATGTCTTCTTTTTATACTTGTTTTGACCAAAAAAGGTACTTATTAGGAATGTACCTGTTTAATATTGAATACATAGGCACAAAACTATAAATGTGTAGGTGTATGGATATACAGCCACAAACAGAATGTGAATGGTGAAGTCTTCATACAGCTTCTTAGGTTAGTTTTTGTTACTGCTAACATTCTTTTCTTTTGTGGTAAGTCACATCATGTTACTGTATTATCAAACTGACTGCATTGAAAATGTTGGCCTATTATGGTAATGAACATTAAGCAAAGCATGGGGATCAGGATGATTTCTCTAGGGAGCAAAATATAGGAATCTGCCATAGCACCTGCTTTATTCAGAATTTGCTTCTTCTTGACTATGTAAAACAGCTTCCGTGTTTGTTTTAACATGCCAAACTAGCATCCATTAACTTCATTAGCCTGTTACTGTGTTACACCTCTACTTTGTATTTTTCAGGCTCTGTTTTCGAGTGAATCTGATTTCAGGAGTTGTCTATCCTTTTTGCTTTACATGTTGAGTTGCACCTCAAGTTTTATTAGCGTATTTGGAATTGCAATAACTTCTCTCATTTATTCCTCCAGCTTCTAGTACTAAGAAAATATTTTTAGAGGACTTGAACCGTTTTTGTCTACCCTTGGGTTAGGCCAGGCAGCCAAAATAGTTGTGGGAATTTGTGTTCAGAATATGGCATTATTGTTACGTCTTGGTTACATCTGAAACTGTAGCATTTGGTGTTCACAACATCTTATTCCTGTAGTTGCTGTTTTCTTCTTTTCTTAGGGCAGTGATTCCTGCTTCTCTAGAGTCTGATACATCAGCTACAAAGCCAACATCATATGTGACTGATTGCAATAGCAAGTTAAAACAATGCTGATTTCAAAACTAAGTTGTAGGCAGCGATGCCCTGGGATTGGTTTTGATCAGTGCTCTTTCTCAAGATAATTGCACTCTTAATTTATAATGCAAATGGAAATTTTTGCAAACCAGTCTGTTGAGGGAGCAGGCACATTGATTTCTTACTGTCTTTATGGTTTTGCTAAGTATCTTTCTATGGTGTTTCCCTTTTTTAGCCAAGAAGTTTCTCACCAACAGGAATGTGGGGTTTTGCCGTAAGCTTCAGTGGTAGCTGATGACATTCGTTTCACGAAGAAACACAAAAGAAAATTATCCAGTGTACTGTGGCAAAAATGCAGTTACAATTTTGTCTTCTTTCATCTGAAACACCCATGTAACCTGAGGTCATCTCAAACTGTCCATGTGAAATACCTTTCACTTAAGGTGACTAGAAACCACTGCTGCACTGCATTTCCTCTTAGGCTCAATTTTTTTCTGTCTTGGTAGCTAGAGAAGCTGTTAAACATAATACAATGAAGCTTAAAGCATTTGAACTGAAACCTGTCTGTAAAGGAAAGACACAAATTAGGAAAGCTTAAAATGCACCCGGCTTTAAAGGCATAAAAAGCTGCAGTGTCCTTCAGTGCCTTTTTCAGGCCCAACGATTTGCCGCTTCTGCATAAACTGAACGTTGTTCTACTACACTTACCGCATATCTTCCCTGCCAACTGTGCTCTAAAATATAAATCATCAGTAAATGTAAGCCACTCCCCCCTTCTTCCCACAGGGCTTGTAGATGGAAAAGCAAGACTGGTATTGTACAGCCTCAGCAGTAGCTACAGTTTGCCAGACCACCAGTTAGTTCGCCTACGCAAGCAGTTGCTGCTTCATTTGTTGGCATACTGGAAAAGGCCAGTGGGGAAGTGGTGAAAGGTTTACTGTTATTGTGAAAACCGTTTAATATTAACAATTAGCTGCAGTTTCAGTGTACCTGTTAAAATGGCACCAAGCCTGAGAATAAATGCCAAAAATGCTCCTTTTATGCAACTGTTAAATACCAGCACACCAGCCTATAGAAGAGTGTGCAAATCACCTTGAGTCACAGCAACCTAACTCACTTAACACTTGTGCAGAAATAATACATTTGCAAAGCAAGAAAAATAGATTCTTCTTGCCAACAGAACTTAAGTTGTTTACTCATTAATTTTTTCCTAATGAAATATATAAATCTTCACCAGCTTGAATGTACTGTTAGCTATTGCGAAGCACATGTGACTAAGTTTGCATTAATGTCAGTATTGTTCTACTGGTTTTATTAGGATTTTCTCCTCCTTTAATACTGTACCATACATTGTAATTTTAGAAACTTTTCACCTTACTAAATTAGCTTTAAATGTGTTGCTGCTTTTTAGTTTCCTAGCTGCTGTAAAATAGCTATTTTGTGTTTATTTGATATAGAAATGTAAAAACTGCATTTATTTATACAGAGACATTTATAATACTTATTTTACAAATGTTCTTATATTCTGAATAAATTTCTAATGCTGTTTCTTTGCCTTGGGCGTTGTTTTACTATACCTTGTCATCTTATTGTCGAATGGGTCTGCTTAAAGGTACCACAAAGACCTTCTCCAAGGTAAGTTATTGAGGGACATGATACGACACTGTCAGGGAAGCTCCCCATAATAGGGACATGAAAAGTTGGTTAAGAACTCACTGGAGATCTGATCACAGGTTTAACTGAGCTCAGGAACATTAGTACTTGCCACAAACCCTCTGCAGCTTCAATGAACACTTTATAGAAATGGAAGGGCACATAGGAAACTGTTTCCACACATCCAGTTCTTTTAATAACAAGCTGTATGGACCAAAAGAAAATGGCTATTTCATAAATACTTTAAAAGCACTGATTGAAGTTCACATACTTCCTTTCTCCAGTACATCTAACACCTTTTAAAAAAAATTTTTTTTTTTTTGCTTTCTCTTGTGTTCAATGGACCCCTTGTCCACCTTTACAATTGACTTTAAAAAATAATACTTCTCGTCCTGGCACTGTACCTAATCAGTGCTGCTGACTGGCTTAAGGCAACATTTAAACATTCCACAGTGAAAGAATAACCTGTGCCAGCAGCACAGGCTTTACATTTCACACTGATCAGCAATGCTTATATTCATACTTCAGTACTTCAGTAAGTTTATGTATAAAGTCATTTAATTTTACAGAGAAAAATTACAGTATAGAAGAAAACATCAATTTAGTCATAGCCTCTTAAATGGTGTGCTTCAGTTTCTGAATCAGTGAATAACAAATAAAAAATCACAATCATCAGTACAACAGATGTTACAGGTAGTTACAGATTTTATTTATTAAAATTGAAAAGTTGACTAATGCAAAACTTTCTTCAAGATAACATCATGGAAGTTGAATAAAATCTGTAACTTTACATGGTTTTAACCCTATTAGCTGTACGTACTTTCTACTTAATTAGCACCGATATGCCACTTACATACCAGTGAGGAAAACAGATCAAGTTCTTGAGCTTTAAACAAACAGGAGGAAGACATAACCCTTCATGCATGAGCCATATAATAAAACACTGGCTCCCTATTTTCTGCGAGGCATGCAGTGCTGCACAGAAAAGTGTTATCTTTGGGCAGCAATACCTGAGTCAGCCTGGGTCCTGGAACATGTACGGCTACCTAGCATTATGCCAAAGTTCATGAACAAAGCCCCACCTTCTTCTGTGGAGTCTGTTTGGCTTTTTAAAGTGCCTTGCAAACCCAGCTCAACTGCTCCTCAGGGCTGACGTACAGCTTCCACATACTGCAGTGCCGTGCAGACATAGTAAAGTTACTTAAGGATACTGTTTTAAGTTATAGACTTCAGAAGTACTTGCTGAGAGCTCTTAATCATGCAGTTTTGCATACTCTTCCTGCATAACAAAAATATGTACCCAACCAGTAAGATATAAACGGTTCATCTCCCTAGTTTAGTAGTTTTGCTCAAACATGCTTAAAAAAATTTGCAAAGTAAGTTTTTCTCACAGTGGGAAGTGTGTTAGAGAGAACTGTTTGCAGTATCTATATTCTTAAAAAGATAAAAATGCCTTGTTTTAAAATGATAAATGCTCCATGAGCTGTAATCACTTTCTTAAAGACACTGAACTGTAACCCATAATGGAAACTAGAAGGTAGTTCTTCTGAGCAACAATATAAATGCTTAACAATGACAAAATACTCAGTGTTTTCAGTAAATTTCATAGTGGACCTATTCAAAGTTAAACATTCTGTACCCTGTGAAATTTTGATAATTACTTAAAAGCAAGCTTTCTTTTTTTCCTGCAAGTATTGAAGGAGGAATTGAAGACACTTCCTTCCCAGAAGTATCCCAGAGCTGAGAACAATTTAAAGATAAGGGTTTCTGTAAAGTTGAATCTATACAGTAAGTTAAGTCTAGCTTAACCTAACGTTTTCAATGAAAAGACAAGTTAAAACCCAAGCATTTAATTTTAATGTACTACTACTAATCCAGAATACTTCCTCTTGTATGATCTTGAATACGGCCAAGGTAATTGCTACATATGTTGTCTTCCTTGTAAGTAAGTTCACAATCTA